ATTCATAAAAAATATAGAATTATGTTATAATACTTTATGCTTGTTTTTTATGGATACATATAAAAAGTATATATATATATATATATATATATATATATATATACATAGAAATGATGAATAATTAAAAATATGAAAAATATAATATTGACATATATCACATTTTATATTTCATATATAAAATAACAATTAAATATATAAAATTAAATAAATAATTAAATATTAAATATATATGAAAATAATTTGAATTTGTATATATATATTTGTTGCTATATAATTTTTCATATTATAGATAAAAGATAAAAAAAAATTGTTGCAAGTATAAAAGTATAAAAATCCAAGAATTTTCTTAAAAATAAAAGAAAATGTCTTAAAATCAATCTTACTAAAACTTTCAATGTTATTAAACATTTTCAAAGTTTTATCTCTATTTAACTAAGAAACTATACTTAAATTTACTATAAATTCATAAAGAAAAAGTCACTTAAAATTACGAAATATTACAAAATACATATAACAAAATATATATAACATATATATACATTATTAAATATTTGTGATTGGAATTAATAAACAATTTCATAATATCTATTCTAATTTCAATTATGAAAAATTGTATTCTCAAAAAATGTGAATGATGAATGGATTGTTAAATATATATATACATATGTCGAATGCTCTTTCACTAAAGTATATATGTCTATATATATGTATGTAGAATGCTGATGCTTATGTTTATGACTGTGATGTAATTTCTTCGAGGTGAGTGGATTGTATTAGTGCGATTAGTGCGATACGCGCTATATAATCTTGTCCATAAGAGAGCTGGGTCTCTCACAATGTCACAGTAGATAATTGTATCCGAAACGATATGTTGTTACAAACTATGTATCGTATTCGGCAGTCAAACTACAACGCGTTCACAACGAGAGATAATTAGACTCTAGTTTCCAAGAGAAATTCGTGCCTTTAGAAAATTCCTTCCTAATTCATTTGGGAGGATCAGTTTTCTAGTGGGGCACGATAATAACCAATAATATTGCTATCAGTGCCTAACTCGTGACATCTCCTCAAGTTACAGGAAAATTTCTCGAATTAGAATGATGTTTAGTTGCCGTTGAGTCAGCCGTGTCTACAATATGTCATTCTTGAAATCGGGCTCCGCTCCAGCCATGCTGAAATGCATCAAAAATATATAATTATAAGTGTCGATTAAACCTTTCTCAAAAACAATCTTCTCAGATAACATCATTCTTTGTTTAATCTTAATAGAAATCGATGACAGATAATAATAAAAAAGGATTTCCATACGAAGAATTTTTCCGCATAAACTATTTATAAATCTCGTGAGCAATAAGTGCTCGTGAACGAAGAATGAAAATTGTTGTTTTTCATGATTTTTAAAAATAAAAATTCGGGATATTTTTAAAGAATGTATTTTAAATAGCAAAATCATGAGGAAAATTCATATAAATATATTTCGGGTAAGACTTGATATAAGTATTTTAAATTAATATAGCATTAAATTATAAGCATTTTATATTAATATCAAATAATAATAATAATAAATAATAATAATAAATAATAATAATTATATTTAAATCCATAAATAAGTCATGTTTAAATATTTTATTTAAATCCATAGATGAATCGAAGTATAACGTTTAATTTGTCTATTTGTCAAAGTTCATAGGCATGAATCAAAATATATTTCTATAAGATTTTGAATTAAAATTGAATGTGTTTTTCTACGCACAGATTTGTTTCTTTTAATTACTTTATATATTAATTAATTATTTATATATACAAAAAAGTTATTAATGATACCTGAATCAATTTGAATTTCAAATCAATACATCAGTTGAAAAATTTTTGTCTTTATTTCATTTGCAAAAATTTCAAAAATTTTTTATTCTGATATGAGATTACTGAAAAATAAATAATTAATTAGTATTTTGTCCTAATCTTAATTAATTCATTAGTATATATAAAATAAAAGTAGAGAGAAATTAATAAATTTGTATTGATTCGAGACATATATAAAAAAATTGGAATATTTATGTATTTTTATTAATTATATAATATTAATTCATGGTATTTATTGTATGATATTTATTTTCAATTATTATTTTTCTCTGAATAAGAATAAGAAATAGTACAAGTGAAATTTGTCAATTTGTCAATCATTATATTCAATGCACCGATCTGAATTCAAATTGAATCAAGTCTTATCAAGTCTTATGAATCAAGTCAATCTTTAATATTTCAGATTTTCGTATATATATGAAAAAATTAAAATAAGCAAGTTTATGTATAAAAATATTCAATCTTTTTAATCTTTCTTATTAAAAATTTTAAGGGAATATTTTGATTTGCTTCTGAATTCTAGCAAATTGAATATAATGTAAGAATTCATTTATGATTTTAAACGAAATAATACGTAATCATTGTATAACGTTGAATATTGTAGAATTTGATATAACTTATTCAAAATAAGTCTTTGTTAAATGATAAATTATGTAATTACGTAATTTCAAAAAGTGATATTTTTTTTTTTAAATGATGTAAGTATGTTACATAATTACATTACACGATATTTATATACATTGTATATTACATTATATTGAAATTCAGAAATATTTTTATATTTTATTTTTCATTATCGTTAAATAAATTTTATGAAATATATATGTATATGATTTTTTTTTCATCGTTTTGACGTTTAAAATTTACCTTTTATTAATTATTAATATTTATATTAATATTTTAATATATTTATATTAATATTTTAAAGATGTCCGACAAATTTATAAACATCTTACAGAATACATAAAAAAGATTGGTAATCAATATCTTGAAAAATGTCTTTTTTATGTTTAAATTTTTAGTGTTTTTTTATTTAATTATTTATTTAATCATTAAAAAACATTTATACATAATATCAAAGTAATCATTTTTCTATGTCAACTATTCTATTCCTATATCAACTCGACCTTTTCAATACTTCATTAGTTTAGAATATGACACAGAAAATTTGCATATTATTTAATTTTCATTTATTATATTCATTTGCGTGGTACGATGATGTATTAAATTGCGGAAGTTTATTTAGTATGATAAACAAATTATGGAAATGATATGTCATGATTATCATATGCTATATGAATAATTTAAATTGCAATCTTTACATAAAGTACCATGTAAAATTTATATGATATTAAGAGATAAAAAATTTAAAAACTCAATAATATTTATATAACTATAATATATATTATAATACTGCAAGAAAATGATGCAAATTATTTATTACCAAATTTTTTATATCAAAATCTATTATGCCTATTTATATTATAATATGCTATTTTTATATCAAAATCTATTATGCCTAAAAATATTCTAATTTCCCTTTGATGCGGTTTTATTACTCTTTTAATAACATCTATTTTATTGGATTATTTATTTCTACATCTTTTTTAGAAATTAGATAATTTAATATTCGCATGATTTTTTCATGTATTCACACTTATCCAGTTATAATTTTAAATTCTAATCCCGAAGTTTGGAAAATATATTTTTTTAATTTGTGATTATGATTTTCTAGATCTAGATCTATAAATAACCATATAATCTAAATAAATGAAACATTGAATAATTAAATTCATCAGGACAAAATTAAAAATATTGGTAAAATATTGTATATGGCTTAGTTGATTAATAATGTTTTTTATATTTGGGAAAGACATCTATTTATCATCTATTCTATCATTTTTTTATTTAATTTCCTAATTGATGATTTTTTATTTTTGAACGCATCTAGTTTCTTTGGAATAATTTATAATGAGTTGGTGAATGATTTGATTATGCCATGATGCCGTTTAACATTTTTTCTTTATTTCTTCTTGTTTTTCTATTTTTATTTCTTCTTTATATATTTGTGTGTATAACGATAAATTTCCATATGTATCGGAATCTCGTCTATTGTGAGTATTAAATAAGAAATTGCTTGACTTAGTATATCTGAGTTGAATAGTATATCTATTGTTGAATTGTTTGAAATTTTTTTCAAAGATTGAATATCTTCAGGATTTGGATCAGGATTTTAGATTTTTCAGGATTTTTCTTCGGGAAATGATTTTATTTTTCTTCAAGAAATGTGATATATGATGAAATATGATATATATATAATATAATTGTGTATTTTGCAAATCATATATATTGCTTTGCAATTGAAAAAGTAACTATATTTATGCTATATAAAATCTAGTTTATTCGATTAAATTTTCTTTTTTTTCTAAATTCAATGAAAATATGAAAATTAAAGAAAATATTATATTTATCAATATAATAATAATCATTTTTACTAGTTTACGTCTCGTTACATCTTCACTCATTAAAAAATTTTTCGAAATTTTTGCACTTGAATTCATAAATTTTTATATATTTTCTTTTAAATCAATAAAAAATATTTTTTAAAAAATTTTGTACTAATAAAAGATATACAATATTTTTTATTTCTTGCAATCTGATATAATATTAAGTAATTTAGATAAAAAAAAAATTATTTTCTTTTTTTCTTGATATCTTCTCGTTTTTATAATTAAAATTGAAATAAATACATAGTATGAAAAATGTGATATATGAAATAATAAAATGAAAACGTGGCAATCGCAAATTAATTATATTTTCCATTATTTAAAGTATCGGATTTATTGTTATAGAAATGCAGTTTCAAATGTTTTACACATTAATTTAAAATAGCAATGTTTGATCACACAATGTTGAATAATACGTATGCTTTATACATTATACTTTATACATATATACTTTAAACATGTATATATTTTAAACATTAATAGATTAATTTTAAATTTAAAATTTTAAAATATATATTATGTTTAAATTTAACATAAAAAATTGATGAATCTTAATTGGAAATATTTATATAAAAATATACATTTTACACTTATATGAAACTTTTATATTTACAAGAAAATTTATTTAACAAGAAATGCAATACATCATTAACGAAATTAGAAAATATTTACTATAAATAATGATTTAAATTGATACATTACACATTTTATTCGGTGACACAGTATTCAGCATCTGAAATAAAATTATGAAAATTACATAAATATATGATATTTTCTATTCGTATTATTCATACCTGGAGTTTGTGAAACGATCCAATTTATATAAGAACCAACTTTCGTATTACCAGCAGGATATTTACCACACTCTGCACCCCAACTGATAATTCCTATGTTTACGAGTCGTTTAGTTCGAGGATTTTGCCATAGAACTGGTCCACCACTATCCATCTATTTATTAAATAAATATTTTAATATATTATTAAATTTACAGAAAATTTACCTAAATATTAATTTGTCTTTCAAAGACAATTTTACCTGACACGCATCTTTGCCTTTTGCGTAAGCACACATCGCATTAATCATTATATTGCCATAATATTTATAACATTCTATTTGTGTAAGCATACTTAATGTAGTCTTTTGCAAAATACGAGAAAGCTTACCCTTAAAACTCGTATGACCCCAACCTAATTTCATTAAATATTAATAAAGTAATGTTATGTATATAAAGAAAATATAATCAGTATACTAACCCAATACAGTAACATCAGAACCAGCAAAAGAATCTAAGAAATGTTGAAAAGGTAGACAAGCAGGTCCAACCTTGTCGCTAAATTTAATATCTTTTTCTGTTTTCAAAAGTGCTACGTCGTTTATTTGCCAATCACTCTTTTCTATAATGTCATACTTTGGATGTATAATAACTTTATTAATGCTATGCAATACTGTGGCGTTTGTTTCTGTTCCTTGATATTAAAGATCTCTTTAGTAAAGAAATACGAAGTATATTTGCAATTTATACTTACTACTACTCCAATCATGTTCGCCAACTACGATAGCTAATTCTGTAGAATTCTCATCTATGATGCAATGTGCTGCTGTTAATACATATCTTTTGGATATTATAGTAGCTCCGCAAATCATGCCAGGTTCATAAGTGCGTTTAATACCAGCCATCATAGGAAATTCATTTATTTCTGTATTAGTTCCACCAACGATTCTAGACTGAAAGTTAACGAAAGATCTTCTTTCTATTTTGATTAATCAAAAAATGATATTAAAAAATATTTTTCATATATAGCAATTTTTATACCGATTATGATAATGGCTAATGGATTAATGGATAATGGTGAATGTAAAAATATATGAATGCGAGAAGAATATATGAATACGAAAAGTTTGAATTAGAGAGAATAGAATCGCGCTTAAGATATTGGATTTTTTTTCTCGATTGTCGAGATTCTGACCTTTTTGTTCTAATTAAAAAATTTAAATTGAGATATCGAATAAGGATGAAATACGAATTGTTTTAAAAAAATATTTAGAATGGAAATGAAAACACTAATGAATTTTAATTATATAAATAATTAAATTTAACGAATGGAGGAGATACAATTTAATTTTCATCTTTAAATAAAAGGGATTTTTGAGAAATTTTTGCGAATCGATTTTGTTCGTAATAAATAACAAGTATAAGTATATGAAATGTTCTGATATGCGATAATAAAGAGAAAGTAAAATTAAATAAGGATCTATCAGGAAATATCATTCGAAAAAAATTTAAAAAATTGAAATTCGAAATAATTGATTACAAATATATATGCTGCGTTAGTAATAACTGATTCAAAAATTACTAATGAACAGAAATGTACAATTTTTAAAACTTTAAGAATCGATTTATAGCTCGACATGTAATTGAAAATATAAATGATACAAGAAAAAAAATATATATCGCATTTTTAATTATTGAGTGTAATTAAGCAAAAATAAAAAATATTTATCAAGAAAATATTTTTAATTCAACTCAAAAATTCAAATTATTGTTCGGATTTAATTTGTTGAAAATCTTACTTTAAATGTGACAAAATAAATATATACATACAGGATTCTTCCATCCACAATTACAATTTGTAGAATCTTTTACTCTTTTCATTGGTTGTACTTCACAGAAAAATCTACCTGGTGGTGATAATATTACAATCATTTTGTTTGATGTGGATTCTATATTCAAGGTTATATTACCACAATATTTGGTAGCGAAATTTCTTTTAACAGTTAAACTGCCTCCGTCGCAGTTTTTAGTCTGTGAGAGAATTATTTTCTTACTTTCAATCATCTTTATTAATTAATCATATAATAAAAACTTTGGTCTTACTTCTGAAAATTCAACTAGGGAACACTTTAAATTAATTCGATGATAACTCGTGATAGTCCATGTACATTTTGATCCAGAGTATGGTAATGGATATCTAGGATTGTAAATGTAATATGTTTCGCCAAGATTTAGGTTTTGATAATAATCGCATTCTTCCTTGTTTACTTGAGCCATAGAAAACATAATTAATCCATAGAATATTAACAACATTTTAACTGTAACGAATAATTTTAAGAAAATATTTTCCCTTACCAATGATAAATTAAAAATTATGTAAATGAATCAAAATATCGAAACTAAATATTACAGTATTTTAGAAATATGATATAAATTAAAATAAATATAACACGATATATGTTCTTTGAATATAAAGCAATAAAGCAATTTTTGATATAACAATATCAAATTCATATGATTAGAAGTACAAATTATAGATATATAGTAAAACATATATAGAAAAAATATTAGGAATGAATATGACATAAATATTTATAATTAGAAACATATCACAATAAGAAACATAAGTATATAAAAGTGTTAGTTTTTTCGATCGACAAAATAATGATTTCTGAAATGATTTTAATTTTTTTTTTTTATGAAAATTTTGGAATTATTAAGAAGGTATTAATAAAAAAAAACATTTAATCGCATAATGTATAGAGCTACCATTCCATGATAATAAAAAAAATAATATGTGTCAAAACAAACGTGTTGAATAATTATTGAACAAATATTATATCAAATTATATTTTATTTATAATGAATAAACTACAAATAAATGAATAATTATCTTCAACATATATTGATTTGTTTACTCAAGCCTAGCAATTCAATCAATGTCACTATCGTAATGCAATAGTTTTACATGTTCTGTCGTTGAACAATCTTTTTCATTAATAATTTGTTAACAAAGCAAAAATAAAAATTTTCGCAGAAAAAAAGTTATCTTAAAAATTATTAAATAAATTTGTTAATCGATTTATAGGACACTTTATAATTTCTTTAATCGAATATTAAAGATTTGCTATATATACCTTTTTTTGCAAAAATAATGTTTTGAAACGCGATATTGTTTGTGAAAATCATACTGCATTTACGAATTTCTTATGTAACAACAGCAAAAATTTCAAAGACACTAGTATACAATTTACTTGTTTTTTCTTGTATTTCGAGGATTTTATACACATCGTAAAAATGAAGAAAAAAAATATAAAATAATAAATATAAATATAAATAAAAAAAAGATAATAATTTTGTTGTTATTATCAGAAATATTTAGAACTTAAAGATAAAAATAAATTTAATGGATAAATATTTAACTTTACTTTAAAAATAACTTTAAAAATAAAAATGGAAAAATACTAAATATTTTCTATATCATTACAAATTAACACGAATAAAATTTTTCAATATCAATATTTACTCGTTTTTAAAGCGCACATATTTTCTGTTACTTTTTTTAATTATATAATGTAATTAATCTGTGTATCCAGATGTATTCATAGCAAATACTTAGAGATAAATTTGAAAGAAAGTATTTTTATTACAAGAGAATGTATTTTTTTTGTAATATTTTCTTTCTTTTATTGAAGTAATTTATCATTACGTATGTATGTATTATATACATACATGTAACATCAAATGATTGAAGATGTTAGATATTAAATATTATTATTAAATATTTAAAAAACTATTTCTCAATTTTTTTTACAATAATTCACGAAAAGACTTTATCTTATTTTATTTTATTTTTTTTTTAACTTTATTTTATTTCTTATTTATCAATAGTTTTTGACCACTTAAATGTAAAAATAGAAATTTCACTTTAAAAATTAATATTACAAAAAGTTTTGTATATTTGAAAATGTATATTATTGACACATTTAACATTCATAATGGCAATAAAAAATAATGATGAAGATAAGAAAATAAGAAGGAAAAAGAAAAAAGTAAATATTTCATACAAGTTGCATACAATTATTACTCTAATATAAATAAAAAAAAATAAAAATGTATACAATAATATGGTATGTAAAAGTTGTATGTAATTATATTACGTGGTATTATTTATACTGTAATATTAATAGATAGTAATTATGTAATATAATGAATTAAAATAAAATAAATATCTATAGCTTTTTTTAAAATAAATATAATAATAACTAATAATTTCAATTATTTTGAAGATTATTATAATTATAAGCTAATTAATTAAATGTAATTATATATCATGTCATATATATAATATGACTATATATAATTATATTAATATTATATATTCATATTCATAGTCATTATATATTAATATAGATCATCCAAACATGTGGATAATTAGAGATTTTTAACAATATTTTTCTTTGCAAAAATTTTCGTTATAATTTTATTAACGAGTATTAAAAAAAAAAACAATGACTAATCATATTCAGAGAGCGTATTAGTCCAGCCACACTATTGTGCTTAAAGTCCAACAAATATATGTCGAAAAAATTATATTAATTATAATTAATATTTTTTTATATTAAAAAATTATATTAAATTACATTTATTTTTATTATCTTGTTATTATTATTCTTATTATCTTAAGAAGAATGAATAGATTAATTAATTGTTATTTATAAAGTGAATAAATCAAATTTAATTTTCGTTATTCAAAGTGAATAAAAAAAGTGTTAAATTTTGATATAAAAAGAAAATATAAAACTTTTCTAATTAATAAATGATATATAATAATAATTTCGAATACAACAAATAATCGATATTTTACAGATTGTATTGAATTAAAGAACAATTCAAAAACTCGATAGAATCAATCACTCGAGTTTTGAAATGTGCCTCTGAGTCATCAGTTCCTGGCTATGCTTGCTTAACATTGAATTAATTTTTATTACATTTGTATACTAAATTTATTACAAATAAAACATAATTACTATAAACTACTAAAAAATAACACAAAAATAATGTATCTTCGAATTAATGTATCCATCATTCATTTTCTTGCATGATCATTAATAATGTTTCACTTATAATCACTTCTAATACAATAGAAAAAAATTAAATTTAATTTTTCTTAATTTTTCTTTCGCATTATTATTTTAATATTAAACATTTTTATTTAAATTTTTGTATTTGTGATTGCAAAACTGGATAATGGAATAATGGATAAATGTATATCTTTCAATAATCTTTCAATAAAATTGAAATTGAATGAATAAAAATATTTTTCTATCTTGATGAGTAATGAATTGTACGATATGCATGACTATATAAGATCGTTGTCTTACAATGATTTATCTTGTTTAATAGCTGGATATAATTACATATAGTTATACATATAATTACATATAGTTATTGTGAGAAACAACATATAATGCATATTGTATTCATCAATAATCCATTTTTCATCATCAAAGTACGAAAACATTTTACTTTTTACTTATTCAGCGTTAAAATATAATAACGCGGAAGAAAAATTAAAAAGAATTAAATTCAATTTTCTTATTGAACTAAAAGATTAGTATTGATGCGAAGTGAATAATATTATAATTATATTAATTTGATATATTTTCTTTGAGTAATATTTACTTTTCGGTAATATTTTATTTATGATCAGTTTAATATTACATACAAATGAAGAATTAATTTCTTTCAAGACTTGAGTCTGATAATAACTGATAAATAATAACCGATAAATAACTGATTTTATCAATTTACTTGATTAATTATTTTTTAATTTAATATAGACTGTAATATATCAATTGTTGATTAATTATTTTTTAATTTGATATAAGTTGTAATGTATTGTTTATTTTTTCCAAATATGTATTATTTACCATTCATTTGTTAGAAAAGTTATATTCGTTTTTTTTATATCATAATTTAACATTATTTATCAAATTTTGATGAATAAATTCGATTTATTCGTAGTCTATAAATAAAAAATAATTTGTTCATTCATTTCTAAATAAAATATAATTTAATATAATTTTTCGTTAATAAAAAAATATTTGTTATATTGACATTTTTTTCAACACATGTTATTTAAATTTATTCGTTCTCAACTTGTAACATGTAAAAGAAAATGTTACTTGAAATTATCTTAGGAATCTCGAGATATTCCCACATTTTTGGAATATTCTACATATATATGAAATTTATTAAGACTCACTTGCATGACATAATTTTTGAGAGAAATATTTAGAAGACTGTTAGAATTGTATATCTTCTAAAAACATTTCAAAATGGTTTGAGTGTGAATATGATTTTGAACTTGAGAATATTTTTCATTTATCCCAATCCTAATAACCATCAGCATCATTATACATTTGAAAAAATTTATTATAAATAACACGAGTCAGTTTTCCAGTGTGACATCTATTTCTAGAAATTTTTCTGAAATTTTCTTAAATTGCACAATCAAAGATATTGCACAATCACCATTAGTTCGCGCTATTATTGATCGCTATTATTGATTATATAATTGGCAATCCTCTAAAATGAACAGAAAAAAAATCTTAAACATTTGTAAAATTTGAAAAAAAATTAAATCATTTTAAATTATAGAATAATTCTAATTTTTGAATTATTAGAACGTTTTAAATTTTGAACTATTTGAATTTATTAAACAATCCATTAAAACAACGTTATTAACTTTGAATTTTTTCAATTAAAAGAACTTTTAAAATTTCGTGAATTCATTCATTTAATGACATATGTAAATTTTCATTTGTATATAAACTTTACTTTGATTATTTAAAATAAAAACTTTCTTAGTAATAGAATTTTATATTATAATAAATCAATTTTATATAACTTCATGAACATTGAAGCTAAATTTTTTATGAAAATTATTCATTTGTGACATTTACTTAAATAATATCAAGTGATTTCTATTATTAAGAAAATTATTTCTTATTAACATTTATTATCATTAATGTTAATATATTAATAATATGTAAATATATTATATAATTATATAATTATATATTATAATATATTTATTACATATAATTATATAATATATTATATATTTATATATTATGTAAATATAAGTACTTTTTTTATCTATTATATTTATTTTTATAGTCTTGTTCAATAACTTTCCACATAATTTAAAATTAAAAAAGGTATTTGAAATATTGTCTTTATTTTAAATATTTTTTCAAAACATTTTCTTAGTACATTTATTTTGGCAATTATATTAATAAAATTTTTTACAATTTGAATATTTTAATTAAATTGATACTTTATTTTTAAAAAAATTTGAAATAAAAATTAAAATATCTAAATGTAAGAGTATTATATTCGTGATGTATTGACTCATAATCAAAATTGGTCACACGATAATTTAAGATTTAAAATATATGAAGGATAATGTAGATTAATTGTCACTTAATTAAAAAAAAAAATCTTTTTGTTTCAATATCCACTTGTCCAAAGAAATATTTATGTTAAAAATTTTTTCATTTTTATTATATATGAAATCAATAAATTCTTTATTTTTATTTGTTTATACACTCTTTCATAAAACAAAAATAAAAGAATTTGTTGATTTATTTTATGTCAAAAATAAAAAATCTATTAATTTATTGTCTAAATATTATATAAACTGAAAAGATTTTTTTAACTTAATATAATCAAATACATAGTAAATTTAAATTATGAAATTTAATTAATTGTGGATTATAAAGTTATATATTTAAGTTAGAGAATAAATTTGTGAAATAATTTAATTAAAATAAAACAAAGAATGCACAATAAGAAAAAATATGTTTAATAAAAGGAAATAGGAATAAATTATATTAAAATCGTATCAATATCTTTATTCTACTCATTATATTACATTGCACAATATAACAAAAAGAGAAAAAGAAAATAGAAACGAAACAACGATCGCGCTTATTCACTAGCTAATTCACATGTAAAATGTGAAATGTAAAAATACAAGATAAATTGCATTTTTATATATAAAAAATCAACACAAATAATTGATCAATAGCTAAAATAGATAAAAAATAAAAACACAATACTAATAAAAAATAATAAATTTGTTTAAAATAGGAACAAAATATAGATAATATAGATAATAT